AACTCAAGAAAATACAGTGTAAAACTCAAAATGTAATATATAAATAACAAATTCAGAGGTACTTAACACTTACAGGCATTTTTTAAAAAATGATTTAAAATGTTTTTGTTACAACTTTGCCAGATTACAAAATGAGAAAATAGAAACATAAATAGAGGAAGAAGGGAATTAACTAATGGCGCGGTCTCACTGAAGTACAGAAGCGCGCTTGATTTGTTTGTTTTTTTGAAATTCTAAAAAAAATTTAAACTTGTTAATTTTTTTAAAAAACATTGTTAATACTTTTTTTCTTCGTTTTTAAAAATCTGTATACCTTTTTCTTAGTTTTCTCTATATTTTTAATCTATTTTATGAGTTCTATGTACTAGCAACTTATGCGCAATAAAAAATAAAGGTAAATGCTAAACAATTTCAACTCTTCCGAAAGTTTTTATTTTCATGTTTAATGTGGTAGCAAAACTTAATCATTCATACTTAATTCTTGTTTCAAAAAAATGCGATTTTGAATAAGTTTATCTACCACTACATTAAATAAATTCAACTTGTATGTGAAATAAATGTTTACCAATTCTCTTTTTCAAGTCAGTTTAATTAACATTTCACGACCAAACACTTGGGGGGAAAATAACCTATTTGAAAAACTTAGAAGTTGCCAGTAAAGAACCTGAGTCATTATTATTTCGTTACAAATGAATTATTCTCCATGTTCGCAAATCAATGATTTGAACTTATTTCGTTTACAAACTCTTGCCTGTAACTCAAAGAGGTAACTGTAAACACAAGGGAAATATGTTTATCTATTCTATTTGCACAATGACACAACAACAGTTTTTTTTCCTGTTGCGTCACAATGACACAACAAAAAGGAAAAAAAGTTACTAGTATTTGTATTAAAGAAAAACAACCTGTTAAAGAATACTTATTAATATCTGATTTTGTATTTAACTCCATAGCCTCACAATGACATAGAAAATAGTTTTTTCTGTTGTGTCACAATGACTCAACAATTAGCGACTACCTGTATTTAACTCCATAGCCTTGATATTTAGAACTCAACCTCAGGGTTCCCACCAGTCTTATATAATAATAATAAATGAAAACTATTATTATATAAGACTGGCCGCCATTAATATATATAATGAAAAAAAACTCGCTTTTGGTGAGAACTTTTGGAGTGAGACTATCCGCATGTGCGTTACAGGCTAAGGAGAAACGTGAAAACCGCCCACGGTTAGCTCACTGGCAAAGAGGCTCTAATCCGTGACCAATTGTAGCTGTTCCAAGCTGTTAGTATATACGAATCGATCAGTTATCGCTGAGATATATTAGCTCATCTACTGGTTCACATCCCTTCTTCCATTATTCTTACCTTCCTTTATTCACTCGCTATTATTAAAATTCACTCATAATAACGGTTATTATAGCGACTGCTATTAATTAGCTTTCGAATTTCAAAGTAAACCATCTTAAAAATAGCCATGTGTGAAATAAACTACTTAACGTGAGAAAAAAATCTAAATAACTGAGCCGTGTAAAAAGAATTTTAAAAAAAAAAAACGGTAGTCATAGTAATGGAAAATAATAATGAAGCAAATTTTCTAAAATAAAAAATAGCACTCAGAAATAGCAGTCAGGTTTGTAAATTTATAATGAGTAAATAAATGAATTTTAAAAAAAAAATAGCAAAAGCATTGAATTAAGCATATTTACATAAGATTGAACCCCTTATGTGTCTGGGATCAAATTTGTTAAATATTAAATAAATAAACTAATGAATAATTAATTGTTTATTATATAAATTAAAGCCCCCCAATTGGTGTACTGGGTATAGAGCCTTGGTCTAACCTGACGGCGCGGATCGGTATTCGATTCGCCGTGCAAAAGACTGGCTATCAGTTTCAATTTTTCTAGTTCGGATTTCATTCTTATGTAACATCCTAGCGGTTTCAGAGCCGAAAAAACCTGCGCAAGGATAGGCGGTTGGGGATCGTGGTGGGGAGATCAGGTGATGACTACCAGCGTTTATTCTACTATCTAAATTGAGGTAGTGTATAGTGTGGCCAGCAGCCCATTAGTGTAGCTCTTGTGCAAGGTTAACACGTTGAATGTCACGGAGGTCACCGGTGGCCGGCGAAGCCACAATTATTCGAACCCATAATTCGAGTAAATTTTGAATTTTTTTGTATTATCATCGTTACTAAAATGGTTTGAAGAAATGAATGCAATATAGAACACAAAAAAATAGTTTTATTTATAAACACAGTGATGCCAATTTGTTCCGGACAGCGAATAAATATTTTCAAGTGGTAGTTTATTAACTGTGGTTCTTGGTTTAAAAAAGTCAATTTAGTAGATTTTGATCCGCCACTATTTCTAAACAATTCGTAGGCTCATATAATTTACCACTTTTTTCAGATATGTCATGCTAAACCTTTTATAAAAACTAGCAAAATCTGTCTAATATTTGCAAATTTAGTTAGTAGTTATTTACCGTTTGGCCAGAAGGGAAAGCCATGTAAAAGTAGCATGGCATTCAACGCGTTAAAAACCAAACTAAATAAAGTTAAATTATTTAAAAAAATAGTGCGTGGAGTCCCTCCGCGCGAAGGAAGTGAAACTTCGTAATGTGGAAAGGGGTAGAAATTGATTTTTAGTGAAATCATATTGTTTGTTTAAGACAAACTTTATTAACATTGCTTACAATTCACAATTGATCGCATCTTTTAATTATCATTTTCGAGTGGAGAATTATCCAGATCTATAACATTTACAATGGGAGATTATGATAACTAAAGTAAGATACGAAATGTTTGAGTTCTATTTTTTCTATATTTCTTGCAAAAACTACAAAAAACTGCATTCCCCCTTTGGTTGTTGGATCATTCCTACCATTTATCATTTCCAATCCAAATTTGTCTTTAAGGAAGGTTAATAATGTTTCAGCTTCAGGTTACGAGAAATTCACATTAAAATCTCCTGCAAGGATCACAGGCCGCTCACAATAATCAATTTCTTCACCAGTAACGTCTGCCAGAGCTTGTGAACCTGCAGTGGATAGTGGCAATAAAGATTTTGCAATAAATAATTTAATATCCCTCATGGCTGCATTTGGTGAAATACTAAAAATTTATTATAANCACGCTGGAACCGGCTCTGTCAGGACCGACAGAATGACAAAAAAGCTCTTCCCCAGGTCCGCATACTTCAAGAGTGTACGTACTAATACGAGATGTAATGTTTTTTGTTTTTTTCTTTTTAATGGTGGGCACTTGAGGATTGTCCCATTGGCCACAGGAATGCCAGAACTGCTACTCTTTTCTCGTTACCCAGTGGGCACCTGTGGCGAAGCCACCGTGGTGGAGCAGTATATTTTATTTTAAAAATAGCATCTTGCAACTGTATTAAATGATCGCGATCTTAATGTTACCGCTTTATAAAATTTTTAATACCCGTGGGAGGCCTGCAACCCAGAAGACAAGGAATCTCCCTTCAACAAGCAATGGAAAAAAGCTCGCTTTTGGTGAGAACTTTTGGAGTGAGACTATCCGCATGTTCGTTACGGACTAAGGAAAAACGTGAAAACCTCCCACGGTTAGCCCACTGGCAAAGAGACTCTAATCCGTGATCAATTGTAGCTGTTCCAAGCTGTTAGTATATACGAATCGATCAGTTATCGCTGAGATATATTAGCTCATCTACTGGTTCACATCCCTTCTTCCATTATTCTTACCTTCCTTTATTCACTCGCTATCATTAAAATTCACTCATGATAACGGTTATTATAGTGACTGCCATTAATTAGCTTTCGAATTTCAAAGTAAACCATCTTAAAAATAGCTATGTGTGAAATAAACTACTTAACGTGAGAAAAAAATCTAAATAACCGAGCCGTGTAAAAAGAATTTTTTTTAAAAAAAACGGTAGTTATAGTAATGGAAAGTAATAATAAAGCAAATTTTCTAAAATAAAAAATAGCTCTCAGAAATAGCAGTCAGGAGACTAACACAGGTTTGTAAATTTATAATGAGTAAATAAATGAATTTAAAAAAAAAAATAGCAAAAGCATGGAATTAAGCTTATTTACATAAGGTTGAACCCCTTATGTGTCTGGGATCAAATTTGTTAAATATTAAATAAGTAAACTAATGAATAATTAATTGTTTATTATATAAATTAAAGCCCCCCAATTGGTGCACTGGGTATAGAGCCTTGGTCTAACCTGACGGGGCGGATCGGTATTCGATTCGCCGTGCGAAAGGCTGGCTATCAGTTTCAATTTTTCTTATCGTGTCTTTGCAGTTCGGATTTCATTCTAATGTAACATCCTAGCGGTTTCAGAGCCGAAAAAACCTACGCAAGGTTAAGCGGTTGGGGATCGTGGTGGGGAGATCAGGTGATAACTACCACCGATCAGGTGATACAATCGTCACCAGCAGCCCATTAGTGTCGCTCTTGTGCAATGTTAGCACGTTGAATGCCATGGAGGTCACCGGTGACCAGCGAAGCCATAATTATTAGAACCCATAATTCGAGTAACCCATAGTTCGATTTTTTTGTATTATTATCGTTACTAAAATGGTTTGAAGAAATGAATGCAATACAGAACACACAAAAATAGTTTTATTTATGTACACAGAGATGCCAACTTGCTCCGGACAGCGAATAAATATTTTCATGTGGTAGTTTATTAATTGTGATTCTGGGTTTAAAATATTCAGTTTAGTAGATTTTTATCCACCACTATTTCTAAAAAATTCGTAGGCTTATATGATTCAACATTTTTTTTAGAAAATTCATACTAAACCTTTTACAATCATTAGCAAAATCTGTCTACTATTTGCGAATTTAGTTAGCAGTTATTTACCGTTTGGCTAGACGGGAAAGTAGCGTGGCATTCAACGTGTAAAAAACCAAACTAAATAAAGTTAAATTATTTTTTTTTCTTTAAAAATTAGAAAATATTAAATAAAAATTTACACCTTATAAAGAAAATGCCTTACCAGTAAAAAACATGGACTGAGCTATAGGAGATCCAACGAGTTGATCAAGAGCTACTTTCCTCAGTGCCCACAATCCAGCAGCTGGAAGTAAATAGTCTAGAAGTCTGAACCAACAAAATAGCCAAGGTCCTAAAACAGCAGTTCCAAAAGTTGCGTACCTCATAACACTTTTCCAGTCAATAGCAGTTTTATTGGGATCCACTTGTAAAAGCACAATTTGTTGTGATAATTCGGCAGTAACATACATTGAGCCAAATGATGTCATACTCATCAGCAAAGGCCGTTGCTTGAAAATTTGCTTTATTCTGCTCAGCATAGCTCTATTTTGTTTCAAAAACTGCTTTCATAATATTCCCTTTGAGAAATGTCTTCTGCTATGAGCGCAGCGTTTGTATGCGTAAACGGCAGCATTTGCGTTTATTTTCTATCGCTTAGCAAAATTAAACTTACAAATCGGCGAATACAGTCGAATGTTTACAACACGACGTTAGATACTCAATCATCACGCTCAGCTGACTTCCTTAAATTCCCTCCAAATAGATTTGACACATTAAAAATCGCCTCTGTAATCTGACGTCAAGGAAAGGAAAATGGTAATAATTGCACAGCAGCGCGGAAAAATAAGTTTTTGTTTTGTTCTAAATATGGGTGGTTTTGCGTAATGCTGATACCGCAAGTGATTTTTCTGACACAATCTTATTTCATAATCTGATTACTCTTGAATGAATATTATCTTTTTCTGAAACAGAGGAACTGAGGTGCAAATAATAAAAACAAATGTTTTCTGGATATTTAAAAAAAAAACGAAGAAAGAATTATCATTAAATTCTTGCTATCGTATGTAAATATCTTTAACCATAGAATTGTTGTTATCGTTTGCAATTTTTTTTAATCAATAAATTTTTATTATCGTTTCATTCTTATATTCGTTTGCAATTTCTTCAATTATTTAATTCTTGTTATTGTTTTTAGTTCTTTCAATCATTAAATTTTTGTTATCGTTTGCAATTTCTTCAATCATTAAATTCTTACTATCGTTTCGTTCTTATATTTGCTTACAATTTCCTTAAACATTAAATTCTTGTTATTGTTTTTAGTTTCTTCAATCATTGAATTTTTGTTATCGTTGCAATTTCTTCAATCATTAAATTTTTATTACAGTTTTGTTCTTATATTCGTTTGCAATTTCATTAATCATTGAATTCTTATTATCGTTTGCAATTTTTTTATTCACTAAATTCTTATTATCGTTTGCAATTTCTTTATTCACTAAATTCTTGTTATCAATGCAATATCATTTATAACTAAAATAGACCAACAAGTCAAACAAATAATGAAGAAATATTTAGCAGTGCTTGATAGCCTTTTTCAGTAATTATAAACAATGAATTGTTTGTTTTCATAATACTATTGAAGAATCAAAAGCATAACGAATGAAATGTGTGAATGAATATTTAAATTAAATAATTATTCACAAAATCGTGGCGAAAGTTAAAATACTACTCGTTAAAGTAGTAAATATATATTTTAAACCAGTGGCTCTTAAAAAAAATCGGAAAATGTGACTTTATAAAATAAAATTTTACACCGAAAACGAACTTTTAATTTATTTTTTTTTTACGTATTATTACTTTCAATTAAAATTGAGAGTTAAAAAAACTACTTGCCAAAGATATGTAATTTGAAACAGTGATCAAGTTATATAGATGTAGTGAGACATATATTAAAATCTTTCTCCAAACGGAAAAATGATGTATTCAATTTTAATAAGTATTTAAGCTCTACGTGTACAAGAAAATGCCTAGTAAGTTTTTACTTGAAAGTGAAATATACATAATAATTCAGTATTTAAGTTCTATGGTTAGAAAAAAATGTATATTGATTTTTAATTTGAAACCTTTATAGTATAATATAAAAATCTAGATGTATAACAAAATGAGTATTGATTTCTTTTTCGAAAGCAAGAAATATAATTTAAATCGATAATCAAATTCTATTCATAAAATAAAATGTGTACAAAATTCTTTCACAAAAAAAACTAAATTCAAACTTACCAGCGATCATTTTCTTTATTAAAATTTTTTCTAAATTATTCTTTATTATGTCATTTAGAAGTGTCAATATGATACTCTAATTTTGTATACTATATTCCTATTAAAAATATATTTTTATGAAAGTCGCAAAAATAATTGTTTTCTATTTATAGCAGCATGCATCTATCACTATTTCAAAATCCTATCTAACTTTTCAAACTTAATTTCATAATCACGTGATTTTTTTTAAAAATTTTTCTATTACTTTTGTAATGATGAACTAGACAGCGAAAAATAAAGACAAATAAAGCTTAATAAAATGACTGATAAATGATAAAGTCAACTAAATTTTGTGCTGAAAGAAATTTTTTACGGAGAATTGTTTATCAAGCTCTCCGATCGTCCAAATGAATTCAATCCATGGAGTTAAATAACAACTGCGCTTGCGTGAAATGGAAGAGTCCATTTATAGAATAGGGACATACTCGCATACTTGGCTGCAACTTCGCGAAATAATAGATATTATTGAATAGTTTGGAAGACAAAAATAACTTATTTTTTATTTTGTAATTAAATGTATTAGCAATATAAATATTTATCTCTTAGAAATTATTTTATGAAGTTAATATATATATATGATTTTCAAATAAATGAAATAATGTATTTTTAAGGCATTACAATTATTCACGTACATTATGTATTATGTATTACTTTATGTACATTCAAATTATGTTACATTCAAATTATGTTACATTCAAATTTACAAATATAATTACACTGAAAAGAAAGGTCATACACAAAATTAAAATGTTTTTTTATTAAATTTTTTTAAAAATAAAATTGGGAATATTTGTTTGAAATTAATTTTTTACTAAATAATTTCGGCTTACATTTATATAACAAAAATGAATTTATATATATTTTTTTAATAAATATGTCTTTACGATGTTTTTTTAAAATTAAATGAAGTTTTTTTTATTTATTTACTGCTGCTTCCAGCGAATCAAGAATTTTTGGGGCTTATCGAGATTTTTGTCGAAGACATCATCCACACACCTCTGCACGCCACTGAAATGGGCTCCTCAAGTCCCTCCAATAATTTTCTAAATAGAGTTTAGTAACAAGTACTACGGAGTGAAACGAGACTTTGAGAGAAAACTGATTTAATAAAAATGTAGTAGAACATATATGTTGTTGTTGTTGTTGTTGTTGCACGCCCCCATTGGCCTGCAGTGCTAGACCAGGTCCATGACGTTATACACCCTCAAAAAATCCAACACCGTCCATGGATCATTTGCTAAATCCTGTTTGGTGAGTCCCAGGCACGCGAGGATGTGGTGAGACGAAGATTGCTCTGAAGAACAGTTGGCACAAATTTCAAAGTTCTTAGATCCTTCCGAAAATTTCATTGACTTAAGGTGACCGCTTCGAAAGCGAGCAAGAATAGTTTGTTCCTGTCTATTAAAACCTTGGGCCAGGGAGCCTCCAGGTCGAGGACTCTGATACCATGGGTGCTTTGGGCAGGGATCGATCAAGACAAATTCAGGCCCAAGGACCACCAAATTTTCCGGGCCCCTTACAAGATATTTTGAAATTAAATTACGTAAGAGCAGTCCTAACAATGAAAAAGAATCTATTGAACTGCATGATTCAAGAGAAACATTAAGAAATTTTGAAAGCAGACAATTGAAGATTATATTTCTGAGAAAAAGCTTACGTATCTATAAATTAAAGCAAAATATAAAACAACTAAACAATGTTATATCAAAATAAAAATAATTGGGTGGCCACAAACAATTGAAATCAGTGATTTTTGCTAAAAGTCACTGATTTTTATTTAATACTGTTTGTTGTAACACTGTTTTTCATTCAATACTTAAACCAACACAAAGCTAGCCCACATTTCATTAGATTTTTTACTAATTTTTGAGGCCCCTCTGAAATTATGGGCCCTAGGCCCATGCCTATTGGGCCTAGGCGATAATCAAGCCCTGGCTTTGGGGAGACATTCCAAGTGGTTTTGTTTTTGTGTTTTATTTTTAGAAGACTTCCAAAGCACCAGCTTTAGCCAAAATGTCCGCAATCTCGTTACCTCCAAAATCGACGTGGGAAGGTATCCACTGCAGATGAATCTAATGCGAAATGGAAAGCCACTTTAACTTTTTGAGTATTGACACTCCAGCACTATCTCTCACCCTTTGTCAATTGGTCAAGTGCTGTATTGCACTTCTGCTATCAGACAGGACCCATATCTCGTTTCCATGAGGAAGAAACACAAGAGAATCAAGGTGACATTTATGATTAAGCAAAGTAAATTTTTTTATCATTTGCTACCACCTTAAATTTGAAAATAATTATATTGATATTTGATAGCTGCTATATCTTTTGTTTATATGCGAAAATTTCATATTTAACGTGGTAGAGAAATTCGTGTCATTCCATTAAATTCTTTTTATTATAATAATAATTATATATGTGTTTGACTACCACTTCATATAAATAATTACAACAAATATATAAAAGCATAATTTACAATCACATATTAATTTTAAAAAAATTATGGTACAAAGTCACCGGTTGCTTATGTAATTTCAATTGTCCCATTTTTTTTCATTTAACTGCTTATTGGTGGGTGGGTGGTTGTTTTCAGGGGTCTAGGATGCTTATATTATTGTAGCTATAGGGGTCGGACAAACATATAGAAACATTTCTTTACTAGCTATGCAAACTATCTTCCTTTTAAGAACAAATATTTTGGAAGATTTTACATGCAAACTAGTGGCACAGTTTGAAAGATCGAACTTGAAACTTTCAGAAATAGCGTCCTTTTTTCAAATTTAAAAAAAGAAAAAAATATGTGTTGAGTGAGAAGACCATATGATGGATTTAGAATCTCAGCGTCTGCTTACGAAGAAGACTGAAATTCATCGACGTTGAAAGTCGATATATTTGAAAACAAAAAATTAGAATAGGCTTGTGTTACTAATTTTTTTTAAATTTAGGCTGTACCTACAACTGAGAAATATCCAATCAGTTTAATTACTTTTATAACTACTTTTTACGGAAAGTCACTTTTCTCATCATTGTTGGTTTACACTTCGTAAACGGGGTAATGGGTTAAAATCAAAAGTAAAGGCTTTAATTTTATACTCTAAGCATTATTTTGCTGAAAGCATTTAACTGAACTTACGGACAAATATTTTAAATATTTAAAAAATGCATAAATATACTTTTATAAAATCCCTAACTTGACAATTTTATTTCACTTAAACATCAATCATCAAGTGTGATAAAATAATTTAAATAAAACAATAATTCAATTACAAAAATTCGGAACAACAATCAATAACAACATATTTTCATGAGCCCAAAAATCCTATAATAATAAAATAAAATAACTTTTCTTGGTCTTATTTAACACAGCAATACATTAAAGTCACGTGTTTTTTTTTTTTTTTTTTTTTTTTTGCTTTTTTTTCGTAGTAATATTTATTTTTTAAGAAGCAGCAAGTGTACATACGTATATAGACCTATACGCTCTTTAAAAATTTGAACATTCAGATAAAAAATAAAATAAAAATATCATTTTAAAACAAAATCTAGCTTTCCGAGCAATTTCCGATCTGAAATCCTCCTTCGATAAATGCAACAAAAAGTTTCTCCCGAAGTGTAATTTATAAGTGAAATTTCACATAATCGTATCAACACTTAAAATCAACATCAACTGAAGCCTTTAACATTCATGTTTAAATTATTTTTA